TTACTTTTTATATTGAATTAATTAAATTATTTTATTTTTTTTTAAACAAATTAGCAAATTAATTAAATAAATCATATTTTTTTCATATGTGTTATTTTATGTTTTTGTAACGTGTTCTTCTTTTCATGACAAAATATTTTGAAGCAGAGACTTAGATTGTCGAAATTGAGGCCTGGTCTGGCCACATACCCTATGGATGAACCGACGTGTCACCCTGTTGAAGTGGATTGTGGGCCTAGGAATCCCACGAGGCGAGCTTTTACAGACCGATCCATTGCCACCCCTAACCCTACACATGGGACATAAGAATAGAGCTACTCTTCTCAGTTTGAATAGACAGGCAAATTAAACAAAATATATGTGCATCAACCTTTACTCAAATCACAGAGTATCGGTTAAACAGAGACTCAGCAATTAGCAAATACACCCTTTTTGCTACCAGAAATTTATTGACTTGAAGCATTTATTATCTAGTTAATATCTTCAGTAAAATATATTCTGCAGTCTTAAAATACTGGACTCTAAAAATGTATCCTTTGATGTCCAGAAGAACTTCTACTTTCACTTTGAAAAATATCCGTGATAACATAACAGAAACAGCACTAATTTTCTTCGTAAACCTTGAAAAATGTGTAAGACAGAATCAAGTTGTTGATACCATCCATTCTAGGATCTGTGTCAAACTCGGGGTCTATATAAAAGAAGACCTGGATCAAAAGAATAATCATGTACCAAGATTCCAGGAGCAATGCAACTTGGACTAGAAATTGAGACACCACCACTTACAGGCATGTCGATCTGCTCTCCAGGAAGAAGTCGCTGCTCTTCAAAACAAAAGCATTGTATTCTGTTGAAGTAAACTGCAGCCTGAAAAAGTAACGAGAATCAATTCTTTGCTTTACCGAGGTCATATATCAAAATACAATAATTGATATGGAGGATAAAGTTCAGTGATGAAATTAATAAATCACTGCATCAGTGGCAATGCAGAACGCACAGGGATACTACATACCTGAAACAAATGCAAAAAATAAAAATAAATAAATAAATAAAGAAAAAGAAAGAAAGAAAAGAAAAAAAGGGACCCACTTGCACAAAGTCGTAACACAAGAAGACTCTTACACGAGCAAACCACAAGCACACAAGAATGCACGCATGAACACATGCTGCCAACTGATCTGTCCAAGCAATGCCAACATACCTCATTAGCTTATCCAGACTTCCGCTATATTTATGCCGAAATATTCTAGCCATTATCCGGAAGTTTTGGTGGGATGGTGATGCAGGGGAAGTTTATAGGAAAGACAAAAATCTCACAAAAAAGAATTTCAATCAAGAGAAATTCAAGAAAACTTTATTTCATTCAAAACTAAGTTGCCTCAAAAGGCTTACAACGTTTAAATAGCGAAACCCTAATAAAATTCGGAAAGAAATTACATAATAATAAAAAATATTATTTTTTTTCAAAAATGGAAAAAATTGAGATAATCACGGATCTTGATTCTCCTAATCATCAGGATCGTCCCCCAACAAACGGAAATCAAATCTGAGTTTATTTGACTAAGATATTACCAAAACAAAAATTACCATAAACGGCAAAAACGCATAATTGAGAGCCTAAACGATGGAATTTACCCAAAATTTGACGTGCTTCAGGGCCAAAGGCCCTGAGTTGTGATCATTGGCCCATTTTCACTCAAATTAGACTAGCAATTCGTCAAAAACGAACAAATTCGAAATTAAATTGAGTTATTATTTTGCCTTCATCAGATGGAGAGGTGGATTCTAGAAATAGTAATTGGTTGTGCTGGGATCAGGTTTTCCGGTCTAAGTTTTTCAGACTGGGTTTTAGGGACATGGAATCCTTAGATAAAGTCCTCATCACAAAACGGAATGGATCGGAGTTTCCCAATGACATGCTTAAGAGGGGTGCTCGGCGGTTTGGAAAAGCATCAAGTGAGAACGAGAGCTCCTGCAGTGTGTCAGGGGGCAGGTGGGTGACGGACGGTTAATCAGAATCGATCCATGGCTCCACAATCTGACTCTTTTAAGCCATATTCAAATGCCTCAGGTGAAGTCTCTACAGTATGCTTTATTCCCGGCAACAGGAGCTTGGGATGCTGAGAACAATGAGAGGGTTTTTGCTCCAGTGGATGATAGTGCAGTGATAATGTCTAGTCCCCTTGGTAGGGGGCTCCACCCGAATAAATTTGTTTGGCATTATAAGGCAAACAGTGCTTATTCAGTGAAGAGTAGATATAGGTTGTTGACATGGTGCATTCTGCAAGATGAAAGCACCAATCTTGATTTGAATGACTGGTGGAAGTTGGCCTGGACAGCACTTGCACCCCAAATGTCACGACCCGTCCCAAGCCACCCTAATGGACCTGACACGTGTCGTGCGCCGATGGTAGATACCAACTAAATGCTGGATCCACCACCAAGGCGACTAAGACCCGTTCTAACTGTGACCCATTTTTATAAAAATTTTGACAGAATTTCCCCTGTAATATGGAATAAACCACCTGAAATCACAATCAATATACTCAAACCAGTACCTACAATTTAAAATAGGGTACGCCAGCCCCTCACAACTCAAACTAATCACAATACATTACTGGAAGTTTACTTTTACAATTATTTTACATACAAAATCCCAAATGTCCTTAAAATACTTAATATGCAATGAGCCCATGACATGATTACATAAGTACCACTTTACTATTCTGACAACCGATGCATGTATCCCAAAAGAACTAGGCACCANGTATCCCAAAAGAAATAGGTACTATGTATATGGACAAAATGAGTCATACAAATAGACAAGTGTGGCTCAACTCGGTGGATCAGTAGACTCCGGTACTGCTCAACGCAGCTACTATCTGGTAAGAAAAGAGGTAACAAAATATGTGAGTTTGCAACTCAGTGAGTGGATATTTTACAAGTATATTATTCGTCACTTTATGCATATTTTCTGAAATTTCTTACTCTTTTAAAACTTTGAGAAATCCTGAAATCTGATAATACTCTTAAAAACATAAACATGATTACATCGTAAAATCCTGCATTCTTGATTCCAAATAAATAACTTTAAAGTATAACGAATGTAATCAGTCTAGTATATATATCAAAATCTCTGAAATCATTTGTTCTTCAATACTATAAGCTGAAAGCTTAATACTGAAAACTGAATAATCTGAATGTTATAATCTGGAAATCCATTAAGCTGTAGAAATACTGAAATATCAATTCAATAGTATAAGCTGAACTTTATTCTGCAAACTGAATAAAGTGAATTATACTATAAGCTGAGATCCTTATTCTGAGAACTGAATAAGTTGAATTATACTATAAACTGAAATCTTTATTCTGAGAACTGAATAAACTGAATTTTATTATAAGATGAAATCTGATAAGCTGTAGAGAAACTGAAAAATCACACCAAAAAAGTACCCGATGAATAGCCTTACTCATGTACAGAGTAATCTCGACGTACAAGGCAAAGCCATTAAAATCTGAAAATTCTGAAATTCTGTAATTCTG